ATCACGGACACTCCTCTTGCATGGATACACAAGAGAAAATAGACTGGTTTTAAGTAATTTGAAGAAGTTACTTTAAGATCTTCTCAGTAAGGGTACCTCTAGACTACATGCCTCTGGCAACAGAGGCATGTAGATTAGACTACCCGGCATAGGAAAATGAAGCAGCGATTTAAATAATCTCCACTTCATTTAAATTTACATGGCTGCCGCGCTGAGCCAATCAGCTGTTTGTTGGCTCAGAGAGGTAGTCTGGACACTCCGCGGTCGACATCAAAGGCATTTGTCGACCTCCCAAGTATGCCTCCTGGGATGAGGCATACCTGGGAGGTCGACAAATGCCTTTGATGTCGACCGCGGAGCATCCAGACTACCTCGCTGAGGCGACAAACAGCTGATCGGCTCAGTGCGGCAGCCATGTAAATTTAAATGAAGCGGCAATTATTTAAATCGCCGCTTCATTTTCATATGCCGGGTAGTCTAATCTACATGCCTCTGTTGCCAGAGGCATGTAGTCTAGATGTACCCTAACTGTGTATGCACTGTTCACCACATCCTGTAATTTGGGAGCCTTTTGATGACTGCTTTATGAAAAGAGGTTACATTTGCTAAAAATGTCTGTATCAAATATATAAATATACATAGCCAAACACTACTGGCCTAACCAAACTGGAATATTGCAAGCTTAATCTTCAGCCCCCACATTTTTAAAGATGAAAGGAACCACAAAGGCTGTATTTGACCATTTCTCTTTTATGGTCAGGTGAAATGCTCTAAAAGTGTACAGCTCTCAAATGATTTTTCAGGGGGTCAGTGGCTCCCAACCCCAAAAAAGATTACCCACCCCTGCCGTAGAGAGTTACTGTACTGTATCTATTTGAACATTTACATCCAGGAATCTACTCAAATTTACCATAATGCTTATTCAGTTCAACTATGCTATCATTCAATCATTAACAAAGGCCCAGACTTTTTTCAAACATTCAGTATAGATTTTTATTTCAAAGCATATTAAACATTGTGTTTACAAAGGACTCTGTTAGTCATACAATATTGTGTTAAAAGCTTGTAATAGCTGCTACATGAAACCTATTTACTAGGAAACAATGTTCCGAGTAGTCAAAAATAAAATAAGTTTTTTAAATAATTATTCAGTCTACTCAAGAATTCTTATCAATAGCAACTGATATTTCTTGTTCCACTATAGATGGCAACAGGGGCTCTCTTTTCAAATGATACAAGCAGTAACAATTACTATAAAATGCCAATCCAGATATTATTACTTTGGAATATAATTCTTATTCTGAAGATGCATCATGTTAATTGACACACAATGGGTAGTAGAAGTTACTTTTCTAAATCCTTACAAATAATTTGAAATAGGAATGCATACCTCAAGTCAGGGACAATAACTGATGGTTAGTAATTCAAAAGATTTATGGTGATATTAACCAAACTAGTACTGGAATTCAATGTTACACAATTTCTTTGGGTTTAGTTGTAACCAAACATGTACAGAAAAGAAGCTGTGTTGCCCTCCTATCAATACACCAAATATTGGTGAGTATATATATATGCTAATTGCTTAGCTCTTACTCAGTTAAACACAAAGACTTAACTTTTACTGAATGTTGCAGAGTAATGTTTTATTACATTTTTAAAAAGGTGAACATTTGACTGAATTTGGTGCATGTGAAATACATCAGACTGACACTGGAGACTGAAGACATCCATCCACAGAAAAAATAAGTCACAGGCAGTAAGAATGCAATAATGTTCCCTGATGCTGCTTTGACAAGGTACTTCTAGAAGAGAGGTGCTCTGTGCTGAGACTAGCAGCAGAAAGGCCAACTATAGAGGTTTTGTTTATTATTTCAGCACTGACTCCTGAATGTCAATTTGGTTTTTTTTCATTTAACAGACTTTTGTTTTGATGTAACTCTGTATCATGCTGTAACATTGTGACTATGTCAAAGCCTTCCACAGTTATTGGTAAAAATGGAAGTTATTTTTACCAGAAGTCCAGTGTTATAGTTCACCCTGATCCAGTGATGAGAAAATAAAAACAAAGACAAAGGCCACTATTAAAACAGTTTTAAATTCAACATACTGAAAACCCATCGTAGATATACAATGAATGTATTCCAATGGAAAGGTGCAAGATCGGAATATTTTCCTATCCCACCTGCTTTAATTCCAACACGACTCTAAATGCTTCCATCTTCAGTACCAGAATACAAGCATTTAAATGTGCGCTTAAGTCCTTCCCTAGTTTAGGGAAGCTCTGAAGCATACATGTGGCTTTAATATGGACTAAAATGGAATTTACTTAAAATGTTGTCCTAAAGAGAAATGCTCTCTGAATTTTGGAACATATTTTACAAAAAAGACAAAGCAATTAACTCCAATTCTAGTAGTTCATAAAAGATACCAGGTAATAAAATGTTAAACTAAGTGGGGGAGGAAAAAACCCAACAACATTGGGGATTTGAAGGCCTAGCATTTCATGACCTACTAAGGCTAGAAATGCTATGGTAGACCAGTGCAAATACAGGTTGAACCTCTCTTGTCCAGGACTCTCTGGCCCAGCAACAATTGTGGTCCAGCAAGACCACGAATATTGCTAGACCAGAGAGCCCCTGGACTAGAGGGCTGGGTGGCCATGGGGGTTGACTGTGGCAGCCCTTGCGGCTCTGAGGAGTGAAGCCCCAGGACCTCCAGAGAAGCGTATCCACAGCAGCTCCAGGGGTCCTGGGTAGTGAATCTGCAGAAGCCCTGGTAGCCCCAAGGAGCAGAACCATGGCTGCTGCTGCTGCTGGGGCAGCCTGGGGGCTGGAAAGCAGGGGCAGCCCCGGGATAATGGGGTCCAGCAGCCTCGCACAGCAGAACCCCGGCAACCCCAGAGCCATAGCAGCCTCAGCACTCTGGAGCTGTGGCAGTGTTAGTGTTTGAGAGCCGCGGCAGCTCAGGGACAGTGGGGTCCCAGAAGTTGCTGGTCACTGGAGCTATGGTAGCCCCGAGGGTGAGTGGAGCCTGATGGCCCCAGGGGACTGGCCAGCAGAGCTGGGAGCTGGTAGCCTGGGGGCAAGGGAGCTCCACTTGGTCTACCGATGGACCCTGGGAGAACCCAGAGACCTGTTAGCAAAGGGATGGAATTGACCTTCCCTGGTCTGGCAAACTCCCTCATTTGGAACCAGTCGTGTCTACTCTTTGAAGTACAGATTGAACAGGCTATAAATACTAGTTCTTGAGCTGTTACTAAAAAGACTAACAATGACTTGTTTTGTACCACTATTACATCCGAGCAGTTTACTTAGTCACCTGACAGCTGCTCCCCAGTCTCTACCTATTTATTGTATACCTTATACAGATAAGTTCTAGAAAATGTTTATATTCACTATTTATAGGCAACAAACATTTCATTACTAGGTAACACTAAAGAAAATTTGTATTAAAAATAATCTGAAGAAAAACAGGTGGATCATATTTATGCACTTTTGTTTTAAAAAAACCAACTAATGTGGAATCCTTGAATACCATCATTACTTCTGGGATTACTACTGATTTTTAAAAACACTTAGCTCATTTTTCATGCTTCCAAATATTGTCATATATTTCCTGTTTTACCTTCAAAAAAATACTTGTGGACATTCATTGTAAGGCATGAAGGAACTTGACTAAATCTGACAATAAGAAACAATGCCACATTAAAGATTAAATCCACATGACTTTAAAAGCTTCAAGCCATTTTATTTCACAGAAATCTTGGGAATGAAAGGGAACTGCATTGCTACATTCTGTAATTCACTGGAGTGCCAAAAGAGGAAGAGAAAACACTGTTTTTATTCTCAAAGTAAACCAAATCAGAAAAGGGAGCTCTGGAGAAGATCCATCTGTAGGTTTAAGGAATGTCAACAGTAACTGGAAGAGAGGAAATCATTATTTTCTGTTATGACTACAGGCATCCCTGAAATTGTCTACAGAAAATTAAATGCAGTTTTCAATATTAAATAAGGTCTGTGAAATTTAATTGAAAATACACATCTTTAATGCAAAGACATTAAAATATAGTCTAACTTCAGAGTTGTTACCATGAGTCCAGCATTGTGCTCTGCAGTGAGGGGGACTATGTGTAAACAGGTATACTCATAGTACTAACAGTCAATATTTTATGAAGGAAGTGGTGGGCCATTCTGCCATGCATGGATGCAAAGTGCCATCTTGGACTCTTGCATCATGGTGTCCTTCCAGCTCCAGTGTACAAATAAGTCTGCTGGGGTGGCAGCCTTAATAAGTAGCCTAATAACCATAGTGCTAGGGATTAGCATTGCGGCAACTTTATCTGAGAAGATAAGGAGTTTAACCTGAACTATGACCAGAATTTTCTTTTACATTTTTAAAAGGTGTTGTTGTTCAATTTAGGCTCAGCCTTTTAAAAAGACGATTTAACATTTTTGCTGCATTAACATTTTTTGAAAATGAAGATAGCATTCGTTATGTTTATCACAGGAGACAGCAGTTACATTTTCTACAGTTTTTTATTGCGGTCTGCAGTTTTGTAAGAAATTAATGATTTCCTAATCCAATAATTGTTAACTAGAAAAACATGATAGCATCATAGCTGGCAACCTTATGTTGTCATTATTCCACTGCTGAGCACCATCTAAAAATGACTGCATTTCTATTTGCACACACAGTGTTTAATTTGCCTATTATTATAGAAACACTTTATATGGTAATGCTAAGACCACCCAGACTAAATCAAATCTTATTATGCTAGAGGTTATAAATACCGAGTAGAGGGAGGTCCCTATTCAGAATGCCAAAGAGCTGCTCAAAAAGAGTTTACACATTTTCCCTGGGATCTTTACACCTGGGTTAAAAAATACTCAATCATGCTTCTTTTCATAAAAAAGTATCACACATTGAATTATTAGCCATGGACTTAAATTCTAAAAACTTTTCGCAACTACAAGATCACTATCTCTTTTATATAACTGTCCCTCTCTCTCTTGCTTTTTAAAGAACAGCATGGATAAAATAATTTTTAAGTTGCTGGAAAGCTGACTTTAAAAATATTTCCAATTTTGTATGTTTTCATATATGAAAACGGATTTATTAAAAGTGAAAATGTGCAGGCTATTAGTTACTAGTAACAATTTTTTTTTACACTAACAGACTAACAATGAGTCACATACTAGATAGTCAAGGAAGGTATACATTTACATAAGTCTGATAATATGGAAATAATTGACATCACAAGTTCAGTAACCCAGGAATATGGAAGATCAGGTTACAAATGAACATGCTGTCTAATGTAGAAAACACAATCTTTAATAGTGACAAAAAAGCAGCAAGGGAAAAGTGTAAGTATTATTGAAGCTTAAGGATTCTTGATAGTTGCATGCATTCTTCTCTCAAGTGACAACCCTCTTCAAAAGCTGCCTGGGTACCCAATGACTTGATAAATCAAAACAGATTCATAAGGTTGCTCAGCACAATAGAATAAACTAATATAACCAAATGTAGCAATTTCCCAAAAGCAATTATTTTCTATCATTCATATACTAGCCTGTGTACTACAGGAATACTAATACTCTTAGTGAAATCCTGACTTTTTCTGTGTCATTTATGAAACAAAATGTCAAATAATGTAAAGGCTCTAATTTTATTTCACAAAAGCAAGGAAATTCTAAGTTAAAGCCATCACTTCCTTCAAAAATACACACTGTACCTTGAGTTAGCAAGTTTAAGTCAAAGCCTTCCTGCAAAATTTATGAAAGGGTGTCATTCTAGCCTCCAAATTTGTTCCTGTGGTTTTAAGTGTAATAACCCTGTATTTATACATAAGAAGTTTCATGTAAAAAACTGCAGGCACTATTTTTGACTACTTCTCAAAGTTATCTTCTTTAAATATCTGAATGCATAGTGCTCATTAGTTTATTGACAAGTCTACATCAGTACTTCTCTAAGTACTAAACACATTAGACTGCTTTAGAGCACTGTTTAGATGGAAAACTAAAATTCAGTCTTAGAAATATTATATATAAATACATGCAATGTCATATCAAATACCCAATAGTGATCTATAACAACCTCTCACTCTTGGGTTGAACCAGATTCCAGGGTCTAATATATGGAAAGATTTGCACTATCGCTGTTTTATAATGCAAGGAGAGATGAAGTGCATGATATGGCCTGTATTTTGTATAAATCAGAAAAGAAACCCTGCCATAAATTCAAGGTACAATCTATCAGGAATTAAATGGTTTTGCTCTGGTATTACAAACTGTATCTGTCTTTTGAATTTAAGAACTTACACAAAAAATAATTTAAATTACTTTTTTGATGCTAATAAACCACTATTCCAAACCTGCATCAATAACCAAGGCATGGGAAGCCTCAGTGCCACTAAAACTGTAATGTAAGGACAGCAGATCAGGAAAATAGTTCTAATGTACTTGAATTTGGTGCTCAGTACAAAATAAATTTTAGGAATTTGAGGTCTGTCCATCCTGCACTTTTCCGCTCTCCCCACCATCTCATTACATTCCCAATAAATGGGAATTAAAAAAATAGTGTGAACACAATCATTCAGCATCATCTGCCTGGAAATATTTAAGTTCTTTGGTTAAATTTGGCCAAAATCCATTGGGACTTCAGGTATATCATCTTAGATGCATTAAGTTTCATCAGTAAACTAAAACAATAGAATACTAAGTTTAACTGCAAAAGTGAACCCAAGGATTAAATTGTTTTCACAAATACTCCTATTCCACATGAGAATAACCCACACTTGGAACTACCACTCCCTTACAGCAAGAACACGGTTAGTGTATACATAAAGTAAGTTTCATGTTATTTATTGAATGGAGACTGTCACACCTCTCAAAGAAACAGGTGATAATTACACTACATTTTCTTTTAACAGCCGATGCTTCATACCTTTAAAAGTTTTAGCATCTCCACGGGTAAATATACCCTTAGATCAACTAAATATTCCAGCAACAAAAGACTTGGGGGTTAGCTTGTATAAAATTACAAAAAAAATCTAATAATGCTAACTTCCAAAGAAATAAAAGCCAAGGTAGTCATTTCAGCAGATGGTATCCTTGACTCAGTGGATATTACTTGTCCTTCATTTTTATGAAGAAAAATTCTATAAACAAGGCATCTGAACTTTAAGTCTATGTGTTAATATGCAAAGTGATGGGAAGCAGACAGTCTCTCTTGCAAAGGCAAAGTGCTTACTAATATAAGGCCAGCAGATGGGTTTTGCTTTGTTTTTTTAATTGTGCTTCACCGTGAGTTGTAACTAGGCACAGGTGAAAAAGGGACAGAAGGCCATGACTGTTCTGAACTCAATCCAGGTAGAAGAGAATGACAACTTCATGCTGATGAGGTGCAAGATAGCATAAATATCACTCAGTGGCTATTTTCATCTCCTCGGGATTCTCTCTAGATGTCCTGAAAGAAAAAAATTCACTTACTGAGGGAAAGCAAACAAATGCTTTTTCACAACAAAGGAAAAAGAATGATACAATGGATAGCTACAGGAGTAATGTATATTGTGGGACTGCATAAATATGGAAAGCATTATAACACTCACAAAGCAAGACAAATTTACAATGGGCCTATTATTTATTTTTTGTTCATGTGAGCAGCCCCTGTTGGAGATTTTGATATTTTTCATGTACATTAATTGCAGGCTCAAACTCACAATCCCTAATCTTACCTTCCCAATGTTATTTATATCAGTGGTTGCAGTACTATTCTTTAGACTGCTTTAGAAACCACGATCCACCCCCTAAATTTTATTTCCAGAGTATTATAGAATAACCAATTCTTCCTAAACCCCAAAATGAATAGTCATTATTTTTAAAAAGTTTCTTCCTATACAGTCAGTGATTCATTTCACACCACACTAATCTATTACTTACTGGTATATCTGCAAAGGCCATGAAGTTTGTGATGGGGTAGGAACTGAATTTGTTGGACTCACTAACATGGCACTGTATATGTTAGAGGCAACCACCAGAATACAAAGAAGTATGGGTCCTATGATCGCTCCTTCCAATCCAAGGTAATATGCTCCACCAGCTACTGCAAGGCCTGTCAGGTAGGGATGGCCACCTCTGGAATTACAGCACAAGAAGGATAAGTTATTATTTGCTATTATAAAACATTGCTGAATACAGGTTGGACATCCCTGGTCTGGCACCCTTGGGGGCTGATCGGTCCTGAATTAGGGGATTTGCTAGAGATGGGGAGGTCCCTCCCCACATGGCCATGTTGAATGGGGCTCCAGCCCCATCCTGCTGCTGCTGCCTGGCCTGGGCCAGAGCTCTCTAGCTGCCATTGGCCCCACTACTGCTGGGGCTGGAGATCCCTAGCTGCCATGGGGACCAGAGCTGCGTGGCCAGGGCCAGCTCCCCATTACCGCACAGCTGCCGGGGCCAGAACTCCCTGCTGTACCACCCACATCCCCCTCTAGAAAGGGGTTCTGGCTGAGTCGCTGGTTCCCCATAATTGCACTCTTGCCCTACAGCCAAACCTCTCCCTATTCTGGGTCCCTGTGGACTAGAAACTTCCTTGGTCCTGCTGGATCATGGATGTTGCTGGACCAGAGTGTCCCGGTTAAGGGAGGTACAACCTGTAGTATCATCTATAGAAATGTGGATTGATTAGCAAATGTTATTTAGCATATCAAGCGGATATAACTACAGATCACTATCAATGTTGTGAGTACACACATTCTAAGTATTATTAATTAAATTTTGATTTTGGTAATGTCCACAATGTAGTAGACACATTCCATATATTGAAGAAGGGAAGACTTTATTCCAAATATTTGATTCTAGGTAGGCTTCAGATTTTCGAAAGGGAAATGCTAAAGGATTAGCATAAAACCCTTTTTTTTAAAAAAAAGGTTTGAATTACAATTTGTAAAATGGGTCACAATATTTGTCTTCATATAACCTCTTATTACTGAACAATAATTTATCATGTGCTTTCTAACCTTGATATACACTAACAAGAGTAGTTTGTATATTCACAACATTTCATATTCTCTCATTAGAATTAATTTTTATTTGTGGAATGAAACTGGATAAATGAAAGAAAATATCTAAAGCCGTCTAGGTAACATAGGTTTGGGAGCAATCTAGCAACAAATGCTCTCTAAGATTGTAGCAATTGTCTCAAAGATGATGTCCTGAGGTTTGAAGGCCTGGCTATCTCCCCACTTAAAAAAAGAAATGGAAAGGCAGAGGAAGATGCACCAAACCCCCTTTGAACAAGAGTGACAGGACCGACCAGCCACCAGGTCAAGCTTGTAGTTTAAAGTAAGTAATTGACATGCTTTGGTGAAAATGAATATAAAGGAATGAGAATATTGTCTAGTCAGGCACAGTTCTGGCAATTGCTATGAAACTTCTATACACAGTGCCGAAGAGACATGATAGTCTGGACTTATACCACCTCCACTACTGCTGCTCTGATCTTTGGCACTACTGCACAGACTGGGAGCTCAAAACGTAACACACAACTGAGCTTCGCTTGTGACATAAATCAGATCTAATACACAGCAGGGACAGGAGTAAACCATCTGATTATGAGAAGGTGGGATTTAGACATATCTTTTGTTTCTCTCACTAAAAAAAGTCAACTTGTCACTGAATCCTGAGTTCTTTAACTGTACGTTTTCTCCATTGATGTGTCAACTTTTTTTTTTTGGTTCAGATTGTTAAATTGCATAGGCAGCTGCTGCAAAAAGTTGCCTGATGAGAGAGGACCAATATCAGTTTACACGTTTAGAGAACCCTGCATAACCCAATTATAGTTATTTCTAATGCACTTAATTTAAGATTGTTTTTATTTAATGGGAACAGTAGGGTTTCTGCTCTGACCCTCAGTAAATAAATGTCCATCACAGGCATTTTATGGGAAATAAACATAGCCATCTTACTGCAGGTGAAAAACAAACTTCTAATGAATAAATAAATGAAGTGATTGACCTTTTAATGAGCACTGTCCCTACAAGCATAAATAATCTATCCTAGGAGAACAGTAGTAATTTATACTTCACTTACTGGAACAAATTCACAAGAAAAGCAACTAATGTCATAGTGCGAAGAAACTTAAGACCAGGACCAGTTCTCTCTGCACAGTATCATTACCTGGCCCAGTTGGAGGACTCCAAAAGATTTTAAGACTATGGCAAATCTTGTACTTTCACAGAATTATTACTGCTCTGATTTAATGAACATCCCTAGGTGCATTACATTAAAAATTAAGCTGTTCAAGCATCTTGCTAAAATAATTTAAGGGTCCTAAAAGATTTACAATTGCTCCCAAAGGCAGAGACAGTAGCAGTGCTGAAGAGCATATTTTTATATTTGTACATCACTACGAGCTTGTGATCATTCCTCACGGATATGGATCTCAGAGTTATTTTTGACACCTCCAGACTAGATCACTGCAATGAGCTCTAGTTAGTGTTATACATAGAGGAAGACCACCTGAAAGTTTCAGCTGCCCATTATTCTAGATGCCACTGAAGGGGTTGGATTTCAACTTTACATAGGTTTGGAGTTTTTCTTCTCTCTCAATTATTGAAATCAGGAAGAAGATCAAGCTGACAGGACCAGATTTTTAAAAGATATTTAGGTACCTACAATGGGGGTGAGGTGCCTGTCTGTATCTTTAGGCATCTAAAGATATCTTTAAAAATCTGAATTGTAGTCCTGACATTTTTATGTCTGGTGGTAGGTGCCAGAACATTCTTAAGGAGAGCCCCAGACTTTGGTATTCAGACTTCAGAGAGTAAGTCAATCTCTACATAAAGGGAGTTTGAAAGAAACTTCCACTATGGACTGATTAATCCATAGTTGCCTACTGTTGAGTTTCTTGTGTCTTCCTCTAGGCATCTCGTACTGGTCATTCTGGAGTGAAGATCCTGAATTAGATGAACCATTGGTCTAATTCAGTACATATGGCAATTCCTGTGCTCCTATATTTGCTTCCATTCATGCTCAAGCAAAGACAGAATTGGTGGACTTTCAGGGTATGATGTAAGACTTATGTTATACAGACTTTCTGATTGTGTGTTAGAGAGAAGAGTCTCGTGGTAGTACTGATATTCTGAAAAGTTAGATTTATTATTATATGGTCTTATTAAACCTGTTCAGTGTGCTTCAAAACACTGAAAATCCCCACAATAGTTAATAAAGGGAAGAGTGTAATCCAACATTAAAAAACACCTTACTTTGAGAAGTCTGCAGTGAGACACTTACCCTGATATATCCGAGTAGATTGCTGTGTCTACAAAGTATGTTGGCAACAGGTGAAAAACCAAAAGCAAAATGGCTTTGCATCCTTCTCCTTGGGTGAGCCACAGATCTAGAATTGCAGGTACAGCTGCCCAGTATGTTCCCAGGAATGGAACAGCTCCAAGGATTGCTGCCAATGCTAACATAATAGAGTACACCATAAGTCAGATGTTAAGGAGAGAACTGAAAAAATAAACAGTTTACAAAAAAATACTTTGGATGAGATTCTGCCACCTTTGCTGCGAAAACAGCCCATTTAAATCAACAGGTCCACTTGGAATAAGAACAAAAAAGGGTGGCAGATCAGGCATTTGGAATATACAGTTCTTCCTTTTCTTTTTAAACACATCACAGCTAACCTTCTCCAATATTTTGATACTTAAATTCTTTCCACATAAAAAATGATTGATCATGACATCAAAATGGATGGGGGGAAAAAAGCAAGCTGGAGAAACAGTCTTGTCAACCCATGGTAGAAACTTGTATTTTATACACCAATACAGTTGTGATAGGCAATATGTTTTTTTGTTCCCAAATAGTTTTTAATCATAGATAGGACTTGTAATTATGGTTGCCCAACATTTCCCCTTTTTCAAGGCCCTGTTTCCAGTTGCTTATAACTTTGCTAAATTTTAATCATTTCCACTGAAATTGTAGGTGTCATGTGTAAGTCTCAGGAAGTCATTTAAATAAATAAATAAAAAAGCTTCAGCCATTTCCAAGAATGAACCCAAAGTTGACTGACTTAAATGCCTTTGAAAACTGATCAGTTTCCACATGAACTGAGATTTCAAAGGATTTAAGTGCCAAACAAAGAAAGATTCTGTCCTCACTGAGCATGATCTAGACTCTTACAGCACAGGGGTCTCATCTAGACTACGGGGAGCGGTTGAAAGAAGATATGCAAATTCTTCAGGAATGTGCATATTTTCTTCCAATCACACTTTCGAAAGCGGAACTTTTGAAAGTGAAAGTAATTAAGACGCGGCTTTTTCGGCAAACTGCCCCCTTTGTCAAAAAGCTGCGCTTTCTCAAAAAAGAGAATTTTAATTACTTTCACTTTCAAAAGTTCCGCTTTCGAAAGTGTGATTGGAAGAAAATATGCACATTCCTGAAGAATTTGCATATCTTTTCAACCGTTCCCTGTAATCTAGATGAGCCCTTAACGTCAGACTAGGCAGGTGCCAACCCAGAGTGAGAGAACAAGTGAGCATACTTCATCCCCGCCCAGCGTGCACATGTGCATGTGTGTGATGTTAAAATGTGTTTAATTATATAACTACTGAAAATTTCAGGCATTACACATGGGGAGAAAGTAAGGGTAGGTGGCTCCCTGTGTGCATCGATTGCTTATCCTCTCCATGCTACTGCCTCTGATATAGAGGCAGCAGTGTGGAGGGGAAGGAGACAGGTGACTCCCCAGGAAACAGTGGGAGCCGGCTTTTAAGTCAGTTCCCCGCACATACTGGGAGCCTGCATGTAACGAATGAGCCCAGGCTCATCAGTAAACCATGTACACATTTACCCTTTCACATCTTGCACGAGAGAGAGAGAGAGAACGAACAGGCTTGTGTTATGCCATACCCACAGAGCACACGTGCACACTAGCCCAGGGCTACAAGGACAAAGCTGTGACTGCTCCAGGATGTAGTGAGGCCAGGCAAGGATGGTGACACCAAAAAGCCTCACTCCTCTGCTCTCAATGATAATCCACAAATGGCACTCTCAAAGCATGGCAAAAGGTAGCAATCTTACTGCAAAGGGACAAAAATGGGACTGGATGGAGGGGGAGGAATAGATTAGGAGAAGATGTCTGGTGAGCCTAGGACCACACAAAGGACCTTTGTTCTGGCATTTTCTTAATTCTGAATACTCAAATTTGAAGCCTTAACATTATTTTAAGCATAGTTTGCATGTGTAATTATATATTATGTATTACTATGTATTATATTATGTAATTATTAATATATCAAACTAAGATCTTCATTCAGGCAATATTTAACCAGTACTGCCACTGCACAATAAATGGATGCATAGCTGCCATCTGTAATTAAATAACATTTGCTTTGGTTCTTACCTGATGGTATGAAGACAATATTAATTCCAAATATGGTGTGAGTCAGCCAGGTGTACAGTCCATAGAACCCAGCCATTTTGAGAGAAGCATCAAACACACCTCTAGAATGATCAAAGAAACCCAATTAAATTGCTGATTACAAAAGTGGGGGAAATACCAAAACAAACATCCATGTGAATAATTGAATCATATCGGTAGTGCAGTAAGTTACCTGGTTCAAATTCTAACAATGAATACATTATCCATTTGTTCCCTATGCCAAAGGATGAGCATCCATCTTGTTTGCTATTAAAGCAAACAATGATTGAGGAGTTGTAACATACCAAGGAAAACTTTCTAGTGTTTGTGGCTTTGTTATGGGACAGTGCTCAGCCGTTCCCAGGAACTATTTGTGAGATCTAGTACTGCAGAATTGTTTAGATTTAAATGGAGACAGTAAGAAGAGAAGGTTCAAAGTATAATCACACGTAGAATAGTGATAGAAATGTAGCCGTGTTAGTCTGGGGTAGCTAAAGCAAAATGCAGGACAATGTAGCACTTTAAAGCACTTGAAAGGGAATCCTCTGAACTGTCATTCATGTTAAAATTCGACACTTACCACCAGGGACTTAACAAGTCTTTGAACTTTCTCACCCATTATCAAGACAGTTTCCCCAATTATCACCTGTAATACCATTAACTCACAAACATCCCACTCTCCCTACCTCTAATATCATCAATTCACAGACACTTACCTTCCTTCCTCCCCCTTCCCACCCCCCCGCATCCCCCTTCTGTTCTGCAATGTGATTTGTCCTTTTCATATTTGTTCATTTTTTTTAATTGTATCCTTTGGTATATATTTTTTTCCACTATTTGATCTGAGGAAGTGGGTCTGGCCCACGAAAGCTCATCATCTAATAAACCATCTTGTTAGTCTTTAAAGTGCTACATTGTCCTGCATTTTGCTTCAGTATAATCACACCTCGTTTACGGGTGCGTCTCAGTCAGTTGTCTTGAAACCCTTGCTTTAACTCTGCTACAATGCATCACTTCACTTCTCCATGGCCTCTCTTGTTTTACTCTCTGAAGCATAAGGCTCATTAACCCTTGAACCAATATAATAGCTTCCCACTATTAGGCTGTGTCTAGACTGCAGGATTTTTTCAAAAAAAGTAGCTTTTTTTTTTTTCAAAAAACTTCACCTGCATCTAGACTACAGCCGCGTTCTTTCGAAATTAAATCAAAAGAACGCGGCTTTTCTTTCAACGGTGGTACTCCTCATTTAATGAGGAATAACGCCTTTTTTCAAAAGTGCTCTTTTGAAAAAAGGCGCTATGTAATGCAAACTGTGCTTTTTCGAAAGAGAGCATCCAGACTGCCTGGGTGCTCTCTTTCAAAAAAGCTGCTTGCTTTTTCGAAAGTATCTTAGAGAAATTTATCTAGGCTTTTATTTTTTAAATTAATGAAACATTTGCTTTGACTTCATGCAGATATAAACTCCATAAATTGATGACATGTTACATATAGAATGCTTTTAAATTTTCATTTAAGTTTCCACTCTCTTTGGATGTTCTTTTGCTCGATGCGATGAGTAAAAAGTAGTAACTGATTGTTTTCCACTATATTATACATGCTATTACTCTACTCTGTATGCCTCCCTTTCCAAACTAGTTCTCACAGCTTTGCCTCCGCATTCAATATTTATGTCTCTACTCATTCTCCATTTTGTTCTATGAATCAACACTGAAATTATATTCAAACTACAGACATGTTGTTATATACTGCCAATACTTAGTCCCTTGAAAAAAGCATCAAAATATTTGCCTTTTTAAAAAAAACATTGCAGCTCCATATTGGGGAAAAGCAGCTTTACAGAATTATCCAGAAAAACCCCAGGATCTTTCCTTCAGAACTGAACTCCATGTGTGATACTGTTACATTGTTGCACAAATTGTACCAGTTTCCCTTTTTGTCAAGAGCCAGCATAAATCGTTTCTCACTGCTTCCCTCATCTACCTGCAATTTTAGGATCTCTGAGGCCACATCTACTCTACAGGTTTTCGTGCAAAAACAGGTGCACAAAAACCCGCAGAGCGTCCAAACCTCAAGCGCATTTTTATGCAGGAAAATCTACAGTCAGTCGACAGAAGAGGAAGTTACTCACCTAGTGCAGTAACGACAGTTCTTCAAGGTGTCCCCGTGGGTGCTCCACTCTAGGTGACGGGCTCGTCCCGGCACCTCAGGTTGGAGATTCTTTAGCCGTGGTTTAGCCGGACCATGTGCCTTTCGCACTATTTCTGAGTGTGTGCACGGTCCGGCTCCTGCCAGTTCCTCCTAATCGGGTTACTCCTGAAAAATATAAAGAGGAGACTCCGAAGCGGGGAGGAGGGTGGGTCCTGGAGCACCCATGGGGACACCTTGAAGAATGGTCATTACTGCACAAGGTGAGTAACTTCCTCTTCTTCAGTAGTCCCCGTGGGTGCTCCACTGTAGGTGAGCTGTTGTCTGTTCTATGGAGGAGGGCTCAGAATTATGATGTGTGAATTGTGGAGAGCACTGTGGTAGCCAGTGCTGAGTCTCGGAGGATTGCATCTACCATGTAATGTTTTGCGAAGGTCATGTCGGAAGACCAGGTTGCCGCGCGTCGGATGGCCTGTAAGGGAACACCTCTGAGAAATGCTGTAGTCATCGCCCTCGTGGAATGAGCACAGAGAGAGGTAGGTACAGAATTGTTGCGTAACGAGTAGCAGTGTGTGATGTATTTTACAATTAATTTGGAGATGCATTGCGACAATAAGGGTTGGCCCTTGGTTCGGTCATTCGTGCATAAGAGTCAGCGCTGTGATTGTCGGAAGGGACAAGTCCTCTCCAAATAGAAAGCCAGTGCCCTGCAAATATCCAAAGAGTATAAGCGGGCCTCACGCAGTGAGGCATGAGGTTTGGGGTAGAAGGTTGAAAGTACTACAGGATCATTAACATGAAATTCTGAATTGACGTTCGACAAGAAGTTGCCGAGTCTTAGTACAACTAAGGAGTCTTAGTTGGGGTGGAGTCTTAGTACAACTCCGTGGCTAGAAAACGTAATATAAAGAGGTTTCATCGAAAGGGCAGCGAGTTTACCCACGCGTCGTGCCGATGTAATCGCCAGGAGAAAGATGACTTTCATGGTAAGTATGGTGAACTTGCCATACTTACCACACAGTGGGTACATGAGTGTGTCCAGAACTAATTTCAGGTCCCAAGGTTCAGGAGGAGTCCTGCGTAGAAGGTAAAGGTTCATGAGTCCTTTCAAAAATCGTTTGGTCATGGGGTGGACAAATAACGAATAGCCCTCAATGGGTTGCCTGAAGGCAGAGATGGTTGAGACGTGGACCCTGACTGATGACAACGCCAGTCCAGAGTGATGGAGGTGTAATACATAACCAAGAATACGTTGGAGAAGGATGGTCAAAGCATTCAGGTTATTATCAGTGCACCAGGAATGAAATCGGTGCCATTTATACAGATAGGTCTTGCGTGTGGATTGTCTACTATGTATCAATACCTCCTTTACTTGTTGAGAATAGGTCATCTCTGCGCGGCGGAGCCAGCTAGGAGCCAAGCCATGAGATGTAGTCGGTCGATCTGGGAGTGTGTAACAGACCATCCCCATTGTGTCAGGAGATCTGGATGTTCTGGTAAGTGATACGGAGATTGTACAGACATTTGCATCAAAAAGGGAAGTCACATCTGTCTGGGTCAGAATTGGGCTACAAGTATAATTGTGGCTTTGTCCATGGCTATCTTTTCCAGTACTCTGGGAAGAAGTGGAAATAGAGGAAAAGCGTAGAGTAGCTTTTGGCCACAATGTATCAGGAACGCATCCCCTAGAGACTTCAGGGCAATCCCTGCTCTGGAGCAATACTTCGGGCATTTTGTATTGAGGTGGGTTGCGAACAAGTCTATGGTGGGGTACCCCCATCTCTGGAGGAGAAAGTGTGCTACACATCGGTTGAGTTCCCACTCGTGCTGAAGACAAAAATGTCTGCTGAACGCATCTGCAGTGATGTTGTCTTTGCCAGGCAGATATGTGGCCATGATGCTGACTTGTTGGTGAATGCACCAGTTCCATAGCTTGGTGGCTTCCACACAGAGGGATTTCAATCTGGTGCCGCCTTGGCAATTGATGTAGTAGACCATGGTGGTATTGTCCGTAAAGATTTGGACTGTATGTCCTCGGATTGTGTATGAAAATGCCTTGCATGCATTGTATATGGCCCTTAGCTCCAATAAATTGATATGTTGGAGCACCTCTGTCACTGTCCATTGACCTTGAGCGCGTTCCTTTGCACAATGAGCTCCTCATCCTATCAGAGAGGCGTCTGTCGTGATTTGTATGTCGGGTTACATGTTGTGGAAGGGAAGACCAGTAAGCATGTTGGCGAGGGATGCCCACCATTTAAGGGTCTGTCGTACCATAGGTGGTACCATTACCATTCTATGAACACTTTGGCTGTGTGGGCAGTACACAGAAGTTATCCAATGCTGTAGGTATCTGAGATGGAGCCTCGCGTGCTGTTCCATGTAAGTGGTGGCTGCCGTATGTCCCAGGAGTCGTAAACAGGTAAGTATGTCGGTTCTGGGACTCAGATATGATGTGGACTAGATCTCGTATTTTGTTGAATCTGTCTATGGGAAGATAAGCCCTGGCTGTTAAAGAGTCCTAACTGAGCCCCAATGAACTCGATGGACTCTTGGGGTATGAATGACGACTTCTGGACATTTATTAGAAGTCCTAGTGTCACAAATAGCTCTCGTCACATGGGTGGCATGGAGCAACTGGTGGTAAGTGGTTGCTTTGATCAGGCAATCATCCAAATATGGGAATATCGTAATGCCTTGGCGATGAAGATAGGCTGATACTACCACGATTGTTTTGGAGAAGACTCTCAGAGTAGATGAGAGGCCAAATGGCAGGACTCTGTATTGAAAACGTTGGTTGCCAACGATGAATCTGAGGAAACATCTGCGTGCGGGGTGTATGTAATGTGAAAGTATGCATCCCGTAAGTTGAGGGACGTAAACCAGTTTCCCCTGTTCAGCACCAGAATGATATAAGCTTGTGTCATCATCTTGAATCTGTACTTTCTGAGATGCTGATTGAGCAATCGAAGGTCCAGGATAGGTCTCCACCCCTCTGAGCTCTTCTCGGTTAGGAAATAGGAATAAAACCCTCTGCCCTGGAATTGCTCAGGTACCCTCTCCACTGCCCCAATATCGATGAGACGTGAAAGCTCCTGCATGAGGAGAGCCTCGTGAGCAGGGTCCCTGAAGATCGACAGGAGCAGGGGACTGGTGGGGGGGGGGAAGGGATGGTATAGCTAGATGTTATCAGCTCACGGACCCATCAGTTGGTGGTGATGGAGAACCACCTGAGTCTGAATGGGCGTAAACGATGGTGAAAAAGTTTTCCGGTCTCTGTACGAGCGGTTAGAGAGATGATTTGCAGTCCCTCGACTAGCCCATCAAAATTGCTGCTTGTTATTGTGTTGAGCAGACATTCTCGT